ACAAATAGTGTTAATTAATTGACGTGAGACATTGGAGAGGTTGCCAGTCCTATTCTATAGTCTGTAATTTTTTTATTTTATTTTATCATAACTTCTTAAAAAATTCTTAAGAAATTACTCAAAAATGAACAATGAAGTTACATATGATGGTCTGGCAGATCGTTGTGGTTCTTGGATGCAGTTGACAGTGACAGTTTTGTCAGCAGCGATTTTTCTTCCTACCAATAAGCTATGGTTGAGGCAGCTCCAGCTCCAACTCCGCTCACATGCTCTGACTCAGGCATCAGAGCCTCTGAGCTACAGTGATAGCTGCATTGGCGCTGTCCGTGGTGCTTAACACTAGGACCGCCAGGATTACAGCACCCCTCCAAGCACTGCAGTCCCGCCAGCTGGCACGGTCACTGTTGAGATTACATTCAATTTTTATTATTAACAAAATGTATTTTTATAGACCGTATGAATGGTTTCGTTTTCAAATAAATATTTGCAAACGACAATGTATGCTTTGGTGTACTTTTATAGAGTTTTGCAATATGTCCTGTATGTATCAAAATGTATAATTTTCAGCAGTGGTCAATAGTATAAATGCTCAGAAGTCTAGTGTGTTTCATTTTTGTAACTTAAAGGCTTCAGAAAACATTCACGCACATTTTGAGGAAAAGACATCGGAAGAGAAGCTTGTAGGTTTTATCTAAACAGAATTATTTGCATTATAAAAACCATCGTGGCGGCTCTAGGACAAATGCACTTACATTGATCACTTCCATAAAATAAAACGAGAAATTGGAGAAGATTGAAAAAATTGTTAAAATTAAATTAGGGAACTGATCACAGATGCATTGTGTCTGTGTGTTTTTACATCTATTGTTGCTTTTAATTTGCAGCTATACTTTTAATGAAGCTGACATGTCATGATAGTCAAGCAGCACCCCCCCGGGATTCCGGGATTCCGGGATTACGGCAGCCAATAAGCGTTGAGCTGCAAGTGACAGGACCCAGCGAAATACAGCTCCAGATGAGATTTCCCAAGCAATTTTTCTCCCGGGCAAATATACGCTCAATCGCCCGTTTGCATTGACTTTGTATGTAAACTCGTCTCTAGCAAAAAAAAAACAAAACAAAAAAACAGGTCCGGTGTGAACACACTTTAAACGGTCATTCCGACTGAAAAATGGTCATTCCAGTTGAAAATTAAATCCGATTAAAGGGGGTGGTTTATTCCGTTTGTCATTCCGAATGAAAGAATTTTGTGTGCATGTAAACGCTCATTCCTCTTTAAGTTCATTCCGGTCTTTCTGCGCACGCTCGTTTCCTTGCCCTTCTGGCACGATGACGTATATAGCGCGCATAGCAACGGGCTGAGATAGAGCAGTCGGACTCACCGGTTTCCATTCGCCAAAGCACGGTCTTCTATCTCCCTTCTTCGACCTTCTACCTCTCTTCTCCTCCTCAACAGACGAAGCATTAGCAGGACAAGGTTGTTGTCGTACTGCTGCTTCAAGAATATGAGCAAAACACGCCCGAAAAAGGCACTAAGAACGGTGTCGTCAAGCATCTTGTTATCCGGAGCGAGGACTACAGTGTTTTCTTCCAGTAAACGTGAACACGTAACATCCGCCCCGCCCCCTATCCAATCAGAAACCTTCCCTGCCCCAAACCTTGCGCAGACCTGAATTAATGCGATTTAACTGATCTCCCTTGTAAACTCTCATTTTGAATGAATATTTCTCATGTAATCTATCTGTAAATACTTTAATTCCGAATGATTTCATTCAGATTTATTTCATTCTGAATGAGAAGCCATCATGTAACCGTACCCATTGTAACCCCAGTCCCATGTAGCTAGTTAATACTAATGGGGGTGTTGCAGTACAGTGGGACAGGGCCTGAGTTCGACTGGAAATGGCGCAACACACCTGTGACAACTGAGGTAGTGATATACAATGACTTAGCGGTGCCTCCAATAACTTTTCTGAAGTAACCAAAAATGTTGGTACTATCCCTTTTAAACCCAATGAATAACTTATAAATTATTTATCTGGCTCACTGTTGACCTTTAAATGGGTTACTGATGAAAATATTCACAGTTCACAATACCACTCCAGCAAAACAGACTCACTCTGATCACAAATGAACTCAAATAGAAAAAGCTGTATTGGTAAAGAAACTTAATCGAATGTCCACAGCCCACTCTCACACACACATTCACACAGGGCTTATTTGAATGAGACAAATAAACACGTTGTGGGCCCAGTCGATGCTTGTGAGCATGGAAGCCGGAAACTAGATGGCCAGTTCACTGGGTTTAACCAGCATAAACAAAAACGCACGTGCAAAGAGTTAGTTCTGTACTTACAAATCCAGCGGACAGTCAGTAATGCAGATGAGCAAGGGAAAAGGGCAAAGGGCAATGCAGTTTCGGCGGCAAGGGGAATGGGGCCGTGCAGCCACACAGTGCCGGAACGGAGCTCAGTACGGCAGCTATAAGTCTCTCTCCAGCGGTCCAGGTCCCTCCCAGTCCTCTTTCTCTCTCTCCCTCTCATGGGCAAATGTCCAGTCCTGAACCACACAGTTCCTCTTAGTAAACAAACTACAGGCTAATTCATGGCGAAATAACCACAGCATGTCTCAAACAAATGAGCTAGTGCTAAATGCAATGCAAAATAACAGTATGACACGCCATAGAGAGGCTAAGCTAAAGGCTAGCAGCGATTAGCATTACAGATCGTTTTATACACATTAAAACACATGCATTTACCTCTGGCAGCTTCTCAAAAGTCACACACAGCAACCACAAGACGACTCTCCGTCAGTCTTGGTAGTTTGGAGTGTTATATTCTTATTCACTTTATGCTCATCCAGCTCGGACAGCAATACAGCTTCTGCCGCAGCTAACCTGCATTTTCACGGAGGTCAGGCTAAGCACCTCCTCCCTCATCAAGGTGAGATTAAGAGTGGCTAAAGACTACAGACAAGCCAATTAGAGAAGAGAGAATAAGTGATTGACATTCCATGCTGACATCATGCTTAAATGCTCCATACACACAAGGTGGTCTGCACAAACAAACAAACAAACTATGATGGTTATAACTCCAACCATGAATTCTGACTGTTTTAGCTGTAAATATATTGACTGGTTTTAAACATTTTAACATTTTTAAACATATTTATACATTAACTTGTGCCCTGTTTAACAAACATTTTAAAGTATTCTTAGAGAAATGAAATAGAACACAAAACACATTTTAATGTCCTCATAGAAATGAATGAAATAGTAATGCCTTCATAAAAATGAATGAAATAATAGCCACATGGCTACACCATTTTTTTATATTTTGTTTTCAGGAGTACGCCTTCCTATTCAGTATCCATATATATATAAGGTATCCAGACCTCATATCAGTACAGCCAATTAAATCATGCATAAGACTGTTATGTGAGTGTTCTAACTCTAACCATGTAGTTTTTGTGCCTAAACAAAACCAAACATTAATGGTGCAGTATACCACGTTCAGAGTCTGGTCCGTAATTGCCTGCATGCAGCTTTCACCTAAGCAGCAGTCTCCAACACTAAAAACATAAAGTCAGTGTTAGAGTGCTGAAACTGCAGTTCCTCTCATGGCCACCTGAGGTTGGCTCCAAAACAGAGTCAATCCCCACAGACCCCCGAACCACCTCAACTGCCCCCTTTTGACGCAAAGGAACAGTGGCTCTGCGCCGAGCTCCCTCTGGATGTCCGAACTCCTGGCCTATCTCTAAGGCTGAGCCCAGCCACCCTATGGTGGAAACTCATTTGGCCACTTGTATCCGCTACCTCATTCTTTCAGTCATTACCCAGAGCTCATGACCATAGGTGAGGGTTGGGACATTGATGGACCAGTAAATCAAAAGCATTGCCTTGCAGCTCAGCTCTCTCTTCACCACAACATTACGGCACAGCGGCTGGCGTCACTGCAGACGCTGTCACTACAAAAACCTAAATAAGTTGGCAGCTGGCTGAAGGGAGATCACCATGGAGTTGAAAGTGTAAGAATTGTGTAGGATTCTAGCAAGCAAGATTGTTTTACAAAGTGGAGATGGTGGCATGATGCAGTATGGAAGCTAAAACAATGATATCTATAAGTTACTAGTATTGATGTATTTAGTTTTGTTGTGAGCATGAATAATAAGGAAGAACATACTCACCCATCTTTTCATTGGTTTCTCTTAGACCGCAGCTGCTAGGTGTGCGGTTTGTTTACATGATGTTACCGGAGTCCCATATTTAACAGATCCAGTGTGGACAGAGAGCATCTGAGTGTCACACTATTGCGCCGCATCCCAATAGTGTGACGCTCGCATCACAATAGTGACGCTCGCATCTCATCAGATGCTTCAGTTATGAGACAGTGTAACTCACCTGTTTACATTTTATTAAGGCTTAAAGTTACACATAGGTAAGGGCATGGCTGCTTTGAGTGACAGGCTGTCTGCAAAGTGTTGCCACAGTCTATGAGCCAGATCCACCCCTTAGTGCTTCAGAGCTCCACCCTCTCATCCAAATATAGTCACTTCTGGCTCTGGCTCTGCTCTCACCTCTGACATCACAAGCAGAAATGTAGGTGCCTGAGCTGAAGTTGTGGCTAGCAATGCTAACTGCCCTAAAGGAACTAACAGTGGTGACAGAGTTAACAAGGGCAGACCAGAGGGTGCGACACCTTCCTGCCACCATGTTTCGTTTTCTTGCACTGCTCCATGGTTTCCACCTGAACTATGCCAACTCAAGGCACAAGGTTGTTGCTTGAAACGCCTCTGCAGAAAAACTGGACTTACCATTCACATCCTCTATTACAAGGATGCTCTCTATAAAGCAAAAATCACCTACTCTGCAGGACTAATCAGTTTAGGTGAAGGACTCCAGGACTCAGCTGCCTGTTGTAACTCCCTACTGTCATTTTTCATGGTCAAAATAGACAATATTCACCAACAACTAACCCCTAAAACCTCCCACAGTTTGACTATTCCCGTTCTCTCGGTTCTTCTCAACTGCTCACTTTGAAGTTTCAAACTTCCCTCAGCTGCTGAAATATCAGATCTCATGAGGAAATCCAAGCCAACAACCTGACAGGTGGACCCCCCACTATCTTTGTAAAAGCTGGCTTAACCTCTCTGTCCTCACTAATATCTATGATCATACACTCCTCCCTCACCTCTGGTGTGTTCCTTCAGCTCTCAAATCAGCTGCAGTTACTCCCGAAACCTGGTGAAGACCCCAACAATGTCAATAACTTTCTAATCTACCCTTTTTTTCCTAAAATTCCATGAAAAAAACTGTTGCATCTCAGGTTCATGTTCATCTGTCTGACAAAAACCTTAATGATCAATCCCAGTCTGGTTTCCGCCCCCTCCATAGCAGAGAAAAGGCTTGTTGAGAATCACTACTGATCTAAAGGCAGCTGATTCCAGACTCAGAACCATTCTCATCCTGCTTGATCTGAGTGCGGCCTTTGACACCATTTTTCACAGCATCCTCCTTAACCGACTAGCCTCCATTGGAATCACTGACACACCCCTGGACTGGTTTAAATACTACCTCTCTGACCGATCACAATTTATCCAGCTCAGAACATTCAAATCCCAGCCATTTCCAGTCACCACCAGTGTTCCACAAGGTTCTGTCCTGGGTCCCCTTCTGTTTATCATCTACCTTTCTCTTGGCTACATCTTCCATAAATTTAACATCCACTTCCATTGCTATACGGATGACACCCAACTCTATCTGTCCACCAAACCTTACTCCACCCACTCGCCCACCTCTCTCTCTGACTGCATTCAGGAAATCAAATCCTGTTTCTCTTGCAACTTTCTCAATTAAATAGTGATAACACTGAGTTACTTCTCATTGGCACCAAATCCATCTTAGCAAAGATTGACAGTTTCTTACTCAATATTGATAACTCCTTAGTTTATCCCTGCCCACAGGCTTAGAGTCTTGGTGTCATCTTCGATAGCAATGTGTCATTCCAAGTTCACATCAGTAATGTCACTCAGTCTGCTTTCTTCCATCTATGCAACATTAACTGCCTTTGCTCGTCCCTCACACCACAAAGCACTGCCATTCTTGTTCACACCCTGGTTACATACCGTATTGATTACTGTAACTCGCTTCTTTTTGGTCTCCCTGACAAGTCCATCCACAAACTTCAACTGGTCCAGAACTCTGCAGCGTGCATCATCACCAGAAACCCCTACATCGATCACTTTATGCCTGTCCTTCAGCAGCTTTACTGGCTCCCTATTGAATATCACGTTGACTTTAAAATCTTACTCCTCACCTTTAAGGCCATCCACAACCTAGCTCCTCTGTACCTCTTCAAACTCTTGCACGTTCACACCCCCACCCGCACACTCAGGTCTTCTTCTTTCATCCACCTCACTGTCCAGCCAGCCCGTCCGACCACCATGGGGTCTAGGGCTTTCAGCCACTCTACCTCTCACCTCTGGAACTCCCTCCCACCAGACATATGTAACATCAACTCTCTCTCTCTCTCTCCACTAAAAAATCCAAACTCAAAACTCATCTTTTTCAAAGAGCCTATTCAGTTTGACTCCCGTCCATCTAGCCACACATATCTGCTATTCACAGTGACATTTATTCACTGTAAACTTATTTTGCTGATAATTTATTTGTTGTTATGTTATTTTATTATTTATTTTGATGTAACTTTATTCCCTATCTTCTTGACCTCATTAATATGATGTTAATTTCTCTATCTTTGTCTCTGTAACATGACCTTGAGTGTCTTGAAAGGTGCGTATAAATAAAATGTATTATTTGAAAACTGAAAGTGGAGACATTCAAGATTAAAGAGCAGAGGAAGTTTCCTTCAATTTCCTCCTCTTGGTAATTCATACTAGCCTACAGTTGTAAAAAGGAAACACGAAGAATGAATTTCAATGAAGGGGTGATGAGTGATCATAAAGAAACCCACAAGAAGAATGATGGTAAAAGAGAGGCTCTGTGTGTTTGTCATTTGTCCTTATTGAGTTAAAAGTAAAGCATTTCAAATCTGAAATGTTCAGGAGCTCATAAAAACAACTGCAAACTGTTAACCTGGTTTATTCAGTCCAGCAGCCTCTCTGTTTTTCACAGTATCATAATATCAGCAGAGCTGGGGTTAGAATGCTGTTGGTACAGAGATGTGTGAAAAGAAGTACACATGCATTTGAAATGCAGTTCTACTGCTACATTGCCAGATCAGCTCATTTGCCTTTTTCTCCTCACTAAAGAGTTAATTCTTTTGGCTGCCACATACACAACCAGTCGAGTCAGGACTGACTGCAGCTGTTTCACTGAGTCTTTGTTAAATTTGCTGATCACTGGGGAACAAGCCACAGTTTCTGTGATGAAGTAATACAGAAACATTGTTTTTCTCCAGCAAATAAACTGCTAAAAAAATCATATAGTATTCAAATTTTCTATAAAAATTTGGTTTATGGTTTTTCATTGTGATCAAAGCAGTTTTGGTTCACTGCAATTAGTGATAGTGAACCGCAGCTTTAGGCTGACTCCAGAAACCAGTCAATCCCCACAGACCCCCATGTCAAGATGCCCAACTTAAATAAACATATTTACAGCCTGGTACAAAAAAAACAGTTTTGGTCTCTATAGTTAATAGTTCATAGTTCATTAAAACTGTACAGGGGTGAATTTTTACATACCTCACATGTTAACATGTTATTAAGACTTAAAGTTACGTATAATTAAGGGCAGGCTGCTTTGAGTGACAGGCTGTCTGCCAGTAGTGTCTCAGTCAGGATTAGATCCGATCACACAGAATGCATTTTGCAGGTTGCAAATCGTGAAGCGCGCTGCACTGGCTTTTTTTTTTTTTTTTTTTTTAAATGAATGCCACTAGTAAC